AAACCCACCGCCCCCCTCCCCCGCCCCGCGCACCCGCCAGCGCGACCCACACGCTGCCCGCGCGCTCGGTTAGAATGTTATGGAGGCCGAGCCTGGACAACCTCGGACCGTTGTTTCGTATCGTTAACCGTTTCGTTCGGACGATCGGCGATCGAGATATTCGTCTTTGACTTCGCTCGCTTAGGAAATTCGGGCTTGGTTGTTTTTGGCTCTGGTTTTGGTTTTGGTTTTGGTTCTTCTTTTTTTAGTGATGGCGTTTATATCGGGGGAAAGATGCGTATACTCTGCTGCGTTATGGTTTCGCGCGCAATTTTCGCGCTTGCAGTTTTATGCGTTCTCTCTCTCTCTCTCTCTCTCTCTCTCTATATATATATATATATATATATATATATATATATATTTACATATAGATATTATAGATATTATATATATAGATATTTATCTCTATCTCTATCTCTGTCTCTATTGCTTTCATTCTCGATGCTACGTGTTCTCCTTCGTCGCATCGGAACGCTTCCCCCTCCCCCACCCACTACGGGGGGGAGACGTGTTCGCGTTCGCGGGTGTTGTAAAAGCGACTCTCTTAATCAGTTCGTTATATTGTATATATGTATGTTGAAAAAATAGTACATTCGTTTTATTGAATGTAAGAGAGAAGCAACGTGCGAGGAGGTAACTGTACGTTGCTGTTTGAGGAAATGGTACGAAGATGGACAATTTGGGAAGAGAAGATGCGATTGTTTCAACCTTGTGGCTTCATTTCTGTTTATTATTATTTTATTGTATATCCATTTATTTTATTATTATATTGCATTATATTTGTTTATAAATGTTTTACATTGTATTGCATTATATTTGGTTATAAATGTATTATATTACATTGCATTATATTTATTTATAAATACATTATATTGCATTGTGTTGTATTTGCATATAAATGTATTATACTACATTATATTACATTTCTTTACATTATCCTCGAAGCGGAGCAACAATCGTAAAGAATTCGCTATACCTCGTCTCGTAAAAATATCATTGCCCCCGCGGTAACGCGTCCATGTACAACGTATTAATCGCCGATCGCCGACGAGAACAGTTCGTTCAACGGGTCGGTCCGCCATAAAACAAAGTAGGCATTACCGCCGCGAATAAGAATCAACGCGGAGGCCGCGCACACAACGGCGCGTCAGATATATACACACACAGAGAAGAAGAGGCATTCGAATTACGCTTCCGGGAAATGCTGTCGCGGTTTTTCGATGACGCGCCCCGCGAGAGAGCTCGGTGCGCAGAAGGTGGAACGTTGACAGGCGAACGATAAAGCAGCCGCGGCGCTGGTCGCGCGCGTTTGCGCGGCGGTTTTGACACGGAAGGCGGGCGCGATACGCGTCGACGAAGAATGCAGAATCGGAGCGGACGGGGCATCGGTATGTATCCCTATCGACGATTTTCCCAGCGAAACCGGACACCGGCCCGCTTCGCATCGGCTCCGAATGTCTTGCCACGGTCCCGGCGGCGCGGCGCGGCGGCGAGCTCTCGGCTCTCGTCGACTCGCGGACGAGTCGCGGGATCCCCCTCCGCTGCCGCGCTCGGCTCCCGCCCCCCTCCCTTCCCTCGCGCTCCTCGTTTTAAATTTCCCCTCGAGTATGTGTCTCCCTCGATCCGGGCGCGCGCGCGCTACTTGCGTGCATCTCGCGCGCTCCGCGCTTCTGCGTACGCGCAGACGGAAAAAAGCGTAACGACGATGGGAAAAGAAAAAGCGGCGCGGCGCGGCGGAGGGGGCACGGCGGAGCAGGAGTGGAGGGGAGCGGCGCGGCGGCGAGAAGAGGCCGAGCGAGAGCGGCGAAGCATAACGACGACGTTGAACGTCGTCGTCCGCGGACGGGCACGATGAATTCGATTTAAACCAGTTTTTACGAGATCGATTACCAGGTACCGGGGGTCGATCGACATGTGGAAATTAGCGTTTCGTTCCGTTTTGTCCCGGCGTTCCGCGACGTTTTAGACCGTCCAGCCGGTGTTTAGCCAGCCGGATAGATGGCCCCTCGTTCGACCGGGAACTGGCTCCCTTTTTCAAGCACGCCTCGCCGCTTGCGCTACGCTCCTCGCTGCGCGGCACCAGGGGGGAAGGGGGCCGGGGTTCGCACGCGTGCTTCTGCGTGCACGCGCGTGAGCTGGCGTGCCCACGTTCGTTCGCGCGCGCGCGCGCACGGTGAAAGAGGAAGACGTCGGCGAGACAGGGTATACCTCGCGATAAACACCGGCGGAAAAGAGCGGAACGCGCGCGCACCGAGAGATAAGGACAGACCGAGGAATACGTTCTGCCGCCGTGCGCGAGCCGTTCCACGTGGAACCGTATCGCAGAATTCGGCGCATCTTCGCGGATCCTCCGCGGACTCGCGACACCAGGGGTGGCCAAACTTTCGTCCGCCACGGGCGATCTGCTTTTTTACTTTATATTACATTTACTTTATATTATATATATTGTATACTTTATATATATACTATATACTATATACTTTATACTTTATATTATATTTATATTATACTTTATATACGACGGGTTAGTTTCTAGTGGAGATCTTATTATACAATTTTATAATATACGTCGGGACAAAATTTTCATCACTATGGGCGACCTGTCTTTTTTCTTTTTTTTTTAACGCTAGAATCACCGAGCTTTGACCGCGACTAATGCGTTTATACGTTATCGACGACTTTCGATGCAATTTATGACAGCGTTTAAGTTTGATTAATTCGGATTTTGTACGATTTCTGATACAATATATGCTGCGGTGAGAAAGTTTGGTAAACAACTTTTGGTTCAGACGTTCCTATAATTTCAGTAACTGTGAAAGAAGATATAAATAAACAGTGTGCGTTAGGTGACCGTGAGAAAAGTAGTAATTTAATGCCAGAAATAAGCTTAAATTTCTAATAAACATAGATAATGTCAGTCAGTCGGGGCGATTAGGACGACTAGGGCGACTTTGTCCAGAGAAGAATAAAATGAGGCAAATTATAATAGATGAAAATATTATAGTATACAGAGAAGCTACTTTTTCTATATATATAATATAAATAAAAGATAAGAATAAAATAAAAATAAAAATTATAGTTCTTATTTTCAATATAACATAATTAAATTAATGAATTAAACTAAATTAAATACAAATTACAGTATAATATAGTATAACATAATACAGTTAATATCTTTATTTTATACGTTTTATATCAGACCGCAGCAAATTAAATAAAACGTTCAATTAAACTCACGCGTTGCAAAAACGGGCTTTCAATAAATTACTCGTCAAAAATTCTACCAAACCAAACCGAAAGGAGCGTCACCCAGAGAACCAACTATACTTATCCAACAACCGTAGATCATGCAGTACGGACATCGAATGATTTACAAAACTCAACACGCCCGACGCTTTACAGTCCGCAACCGACTTTTTCTAAGAATCTAACGCCTCGTCGTAACTTAACGACATTTAGCTTGGCTTGCCAAGCATTGTCTGCGAGACCGTCTCCTACCCGACGCGCCTCTCGAATCGCCGCGAGCCTGAAGTTCGCGGGCGAGCACTTTGACGATTCATTCTTTTTTCTTTTTTTTATCTAAACCGCCGGCACGGTGTACGCGGTGTACGCGACGAAGTGGGTCAATCCCGCGAGTTACGCAATATATAGGCTGGGTGCATTTAAAAGTCGGCGACTTTCGATTTGACATTGAGTGACTCGCGCGTAGCGGTATAGAGCGGCGACCGCGAGAGAGGATGAGGAAGAAGACGAACGGACGGACGAACGGACGGACGGACGGGACGGACGGCGAGGAGGACGCGGCGACTCGGCTCGACGCGTCGCGTCGCATCGCGTCGCGTCGCGTCGCGACTCGGCCCCGGACTCGCGGACCCTCACATCCTGTCTATGACAGGATGGCTGATGGCTGGTTGGTTGGTTGGCCGGCTGGCCGGTCTGTCGGTCGAGTTGGCAGGGCCCTACCCACGGCTCTACCCGCGCGCGTACATGTGCCAGTCGCCTCTTCGTGCCGCCGCGCCGCGCCGAGCGAAGCCGAGCCGAGCCGCGTGCACCGACGTCCTCTCCGCGTCCTTCCCCCGGCCCCCTCTCTCTTCCTTCGCGGCGCGGCGCGGCTCGGCTCGGCGCGGCGCGCCGCGCCAGAGCCCGAGAGCCAAGCCGAGCCCCGACTCGCCGGTTCCCGCTCGCTCCCTTTCGCCCCCTTTTACGCTTATTCCTCCGACCGTCGTCTCACGGGGGCCTGTTACTCTCCCGAGGCTCGGCTCTCTCGACGAGAGCGGATTTTTTTCCCCGGCCAGCCGGCCACCGTCGCAGCCGGTGCCCCGGCGTCGGTGGCGCGGCGATGCTGTGCCACGATCCACGATATCGAATCGACTCGGCTCGACTCGCGATGGGGTCGGCGAGCGAGCGAACGAGCGAGGGGGACGGAAAGAGAAGGAAAAAAAAAGCGTCGAACGAAACGCCGCGCCGCGCCGCGTCGAGCCGCGTCGAACCGCGTCCGAGACGGAAGAGGAGGAATCGAGTTAAACGGAGCGAGAGAAAAAGCCGGCGAGAGAGAACAGCCGCTGGCGCGAGAGCGAGCGAGAGAGAGAGAGTGACGGAGACCGGGTGGAAAAGAAAGAAAAAGGGAGATAGAGGAGGCCAGAATAGGGTGGGGCGGCGCTTTCCAATCGCGAAGCGAGGCCCCTCGCGTTCCGACGACGATCGAAAAAGGTGAGACGTGCCGAAGGGGATATAGGCGCGGACAATGAAGCGAGCGGGAGGGACGGAGACGGGAGACGGACGGTCGCCGGGTACGACGGAGAGAGAGAGGGAGGAGGCGAGCCGGTGGAACCCGCGCGCCGCGGTCGTCGAGCCAGAAGCAGAAGGAAAACGAGCGAGAGCGAGACGGGGCGAGGCGAGAACGTGACGAGACGACGAAGGGGAGCCGGAGGGGAACGCGAGCGGACGGACGGACGGACGGACGGGCGGACGGGACGGGACGGGACGGTCGAGCAAGCGGCGACGATTTGGCAACGGCTTTTATGGCTTTCGTTGCGATCGGCTGGAAACGACTCGACTCGAACCGCCGCGCCGCGGATCCCCGCATCGACGAATTTTCATACGCGCGTCCGTGTGCCCGTTGGACTCGCGCGAGCCTGTGTGCACGTATTTCGGAAACGAGGCCGATGTATTCTGAAAACCTGGGGGGAAAGACTGTCGCTCCCACAATAAACGAACGCGCGTCGGGGATCGCGGCGGCGCACGGTTTTCTGGACGCGTTCGACCGCGACGCCGGAAACTCTGAAGACAGGTGTTCGACGTGGATTGCCTCGCGGAGCATTCCACTCTGTTCCTGTGAAAAGCGGGAGCAACGTAATCACGCCCACCCGGAATGCTTCGCGCCGAGAGAGAAGCTTCTCGCCGCTGGATTTTAACCCCTTGGAGTCTGTCGGGACGTAATTGTGTCCCATCTACGTATTTCGTACGATAATTGGGGGAGAAACGAAGCCCGTTTTTCCACCGTACACGAATATATATTATCGGTCTTAGAACGTATTACGCGCGCATACTTTGTTTACACGTAACGACATAACCTCTCGGTTCGGCGGCGAAGTCGGGCCAGCCAGCACGTGCTAAATTGTACAGTATCCGGATTTGTATTATTGTCCAAGCTGCGTTGAATCTACTCTTTAAGGTTAGTAATAAGCGATTCACTTGTTCTCGGTAATCGTGTTCTCGTAAAACCATAACCTTAGCGCGCAGACTGTACGCCAATGAAATATCAACGTTTCTTGTTATTAGCATCTTACGTGTACGTATAAAACTTGACATCAGATATAACGAAAATTAAGGAAAAATGAATCAGACTCCAGAGGGTCAAGGGGATACACAGGATGTCCCAAGAATGCCTCGCAATCCGAAAGTAGGGGATTCCTGAGGTGATTTGAAGCAACTTTTTCCTTAGCGAAAACGCGATCCACGGCTTCGTTTACGAGTTATTAACGAAAAACAGTGCGCGGAACCGGGCTCCGCGCGCTCGTTGGCTGGGCCGCCTGCGCGCCAGCCGAGCTCGCCTCTTATTGGTCAGTGTTTTTTCGTTAATAACTCGTAAACGAAGCCTCGGAGAACATTTTCGCAAAGGAAAAAGTTGCTTCAAATGACCTCAGGAACCTCCCTGTGGAATCTGGGCCCTCGGAGCGTAACGGAAGCGCGTCGCGACGTAAAAGCAATTTAGAGCGGCCGAGTCGCGAATCGCGTCGTGCTTTACGCCGCGAGTCTAATCTCGTCGGCCCGCCGCGAAAAAAAGAATTCTGGGATCGATAACGGCGAGAACCGATCCGCGGCGATCGCAGACACACAACGTAACTGTCGAAGCGGCGGAGGAGCCTCAATTTGGTGGCCGCGATGTTCCATGGCAATCGGGTCAATAGTAGCAGCGTGCACGAATTAAATCCTGTTGTTGAATAGACCCCCGTGCGCGGCGGAACGTTCCACGCTTCTTTATGAAGTGTATTCAACCGCGAGTAAACGACGCAATTACGTAAATTACGTTTATCCTTAACCGTAACATTACCCCGCGGCCGTGTTGAATGGTTCGCAGAGTCCGACTGCCGGGTGCTACACCGGGGCAGAAGAAGAGGCCCGCGCCGGTAATTACGCAACCTGTCAGTTCTATGCCGCGTTTTCCGTGACCGCGGCATGTACAGTCTACGCCGAAAACCGACGCGGACCGACGGAAAAATCTTCCGCGGCGCTGTCGTTGCTGCCGATCGGGAAATCTTCGTAATCGGAGATAGCGAAATTAATTAAGACTGTTATTTATTATTTATGTATCGTTATGAACGTTGTTATTAATATAATTGTTATTATAATATGATATATTATCGTCTATTGTTTGTGCGTATATTATTACGAATATTATTATTAATATAATTATTATTATAATATGATACAGTAATAATTAGTAGTAATAATTAGTGTCATTTCTTAGTGTTCGTTTAGAATCCTGCATGCCGCTAATTTAATCAACATAACCTACAAACGTGTGATACATACAAAAAGTGTGATGCGCAATTAACAAACTTTGCTGCAAACTTTGCTGTTGATTAAATGGTTTTGTTTCGTTTAAATAAATTAGTTTTAGAAATCTATTGAAAAACGACATTAATTATTACCAGACCTGATATTATCATCTATTATTTGTATATTATTATCAATGTTATCATTAATATAACAATTATTATTTCCTACTTTTTATATATTCTATATTATTATTTAACGACAGTTACTGTATAACATATATATATAATTAATATAATAATAATTAAATGTCAATTTCACACCGACGAGTTTTTAAACGTGTA